TTTTGTTTCGTTTTTCAATTTTTGAAAAATCAAAAAGACCAAAAAGAATTTATTTTTGTTTTGTTTTTCATTTTTGAAAAAATCAAAAACTACAAAAAGATTTTCTTGTTTTTGGTGTTTGTATTTGTTTTCTTATTGAATATTTTGACAAAGATCATTGATGCTTCATGCCTGCAGTTCTAGGGTCTGGTACATTTTTGATAATCTTTGTACTAGTTAGGATGTCCCTAGAAGCATGCTGCAGGATGTCGACCCAAGACTCTTTTGATGCAATCTGTGATTTCAAAGGCTTAATGAAGTTTTTTTTTTTCACGAAAATTTGTACCCAATCAAGCTATATTCACATTAGTCCATGAGCTACCTTACTCTTGTCATTTGAGTTAAGAGTTTACTTCTTGGTCCATACAAAGTAGAGGTAGTTACGAATTCTAAGCCAAATATTTTTCATCCTAAAGTTTTTACACTTTCACACACAATGACATATGTCCAAGAGATTTCTGGTATAAACCAACCAGGATTTAGTCATATCAAAACTATGTGTTAATGATCTAACATCATGAGACCATGAAACCCTGAAAGTCGAACCTTTCTAAGGAAGTGTTGGGGAAATTTGTTCCATATTTTCACGAAACTTTTGTTTCAGTACCAACTTTTGATACTCAAAATCATATTCTTTCGTTATGAGTGATCTTGATAGAATGTTCGAATCCCACGACATTTTACACCCAACAAGATCAGTCCTTTTGTTATTTTCTTGAATATGATTCCAGTATGAGTATCTATTTGATTCAATGCCACTTCATAAGTTTTTCCAAAACCTACTTATCACTACTACACTGGTCAGATAGGTAATTTCAAGTACAAATTGAAACTCTTATCTTTTGTAGTGCATTGTAACGAAATGTTAATCGACCTTTAAAGCAATGTAAAAAGAAGCCCTTCGATACTTATTAACAAGTATTCGATTGTAATTCATGGGAAACCACACAAACAATTGATCCTCTCTCTTGATGATTAATGAAGTAATCTTTTCCTAGGATTTATCTGCTTTTTTGTCGAAAATCTAATTTTTCGACATCATAAATCCAAATTTTTCTTAATTTTCTTCTTATCTTATTCCTTGGCACACTGCACTCACAAAATCCTTAAGGTTCTGAGTATTACCAACTCAGGCTGATGATTGCGAAAGTCTAGCATATGACTTCGCTTTTCAACCCAAAAGTGAAAGAACATAGCCTTCATTATGAAGGTTTTTGACGGTTCTCATTCCATTGGGGAAAGTTACAAGGCTGTATGGCGTGACATTTTGTATTCTGTCCAGGTTTCAAGGAGACGTGATGTTTACTTTATTACGCATGGCAGTTTTATTGGCGTATAGGTGATTTTCTAGGTGACATGTCAAATATCATTTAATGCTGATCTCGCTTCAATTTTAAATCCAAGGGTCACCTATATAAAGGGTTTCAAGGGTTCATTACATGTTTACGCTTTCTAAAATCCCGAAATCGCAAAAAGAACTATTTGTCTTTTTCATACTTCTACAAACCCTAATCATGGCTACTCCTGCTACTGTTGCTGATCCATCTCAAACCACCGAAGATGTTTCTTCTCAACCGATCATGAAGATTCAAAGTACAAATTATCAAGTGGATAGTGATGTCTCAGTTTATCCAGGAGAATTAAAGATGTTGATTGTGGCATTACAACATTCTGTTCTGGAAACTGCAATGTTCAGCTCCTTTGCAGTTCCAATGACTTGGCTATCACTTGCAGGTTCTACTGCCACCTATAGAAAAGCATTGGATGTTATTACCTTCAATTTGGTGAATGAAAGAAGTTTTGTTTGTCTGATAAACTATTCTATCAAATTCTAGAAATACCCAATTCTCCACCCTTCTACAAAGTTATGAATGATCAAGTTCTGCATATGTTCAATGAGATTGGTTATCAAACCACTCTCATCAAGATAAGTGAATTCAAGAAATAAAGTCTCCCATGTATTTGGATTTTTCTATTTTGAATTTACCTTCGATGCCTCACTGGTCGAAGTGTTGGATTAGATAACGGGAGATTGGAGGTCTATGCTTTGGTTGCTGGCATATATTATGATATTTCAGTTGATTATGCTACACAGATGTGGAAGGAATTTCTGAACAGTGTTGAAAACACTAATGTTGTAGATGGGATTTCTTGTGCAAGATATTGGAGTATGATTCTTCGTTTTTCATATGAGAATGAAGGGATTTTGTTACCCAATGATGAGGCAAAAGTAGAGTTTCTGATGTACGCAACATCAAAAAGAGAAATTTTTTCCCCTGAATTCTCCCAAATTCAAAGTAGCTTGTGTGCCGCTTTTGAGTTCCAGTTATCGGAGTTGAGGGTTTATTTTCAATAAATTAAAGGACCTTTACATTCTATCGTCTTCCTGATACAACTTCACAGAGGGAAAAATGAATGCTACTAGGTCTTTGGGTCTCGGTTTAATCACAATCAAAAGGAACAGCAAAAATTTACGATGGTGGAGTTCGATACCTACTGCAGCTGTAAAGGTGATCAGAGGTGAACTGAGTGGGTGGTGGCTGATAGCTGAAGATAACTACGACATCAACGAGGGTGGCAGCATCGAGTGGTGATGGCGGAGTTGTGATGGCAGTGGGTGGCTCCGCTGCTTCCTCTCTCTTTTATTAGGTAGCTTAACGAGGAACAGATAGAAGGCAGCAGCAACGTTGGGGTGTTTGATGGTGGCGGGTCATGACACGGTGTTCTTCATTTAGCAATTCCTAAATCTACAATTAGTGTTCTTCACTTAGCAATCTAGCAGCAACATGAAATAGACCTGTGGTTTCCTTGATAGGGTGAGCCATCTCTTCTCCTTGATTTTCCATATCTACACCTTCGTTGAATTAATAGACCTGTTGTTGATAGGGTGAGCCATCTCTTCTCCTTGATTTTCCATATCTACCTCTTCATGATCTCTCTCACCTTCTATCTCTTCCAAATTTCTTTGAGGAAACTGTTTTTATCTATGTGGTTGTGGTTTGAAAACCATAAGAGAACATTCGACAACTGTTTGAACATGAAACTTAGAGGAAGGAAGTTGGAGATGGTTAGATTCCTTAATGGGGATTGATCACATGAAACCTAGAGGAAGGAAACAACACTTTGAACATGAACAACACACTATGTCAAAACAAAGATGCAAATTCTGCACTCTTAAAGAGAAGAAACCAGTTTTAGGGAAGGAAACACTTCAGATGGTTAATTAAATGGGTATCGAAGGAAAATAAGATTTGAGATGAGTATTAGTTGCGGTGACTAGAATTAGGAAGGACCGGTGATTGTAATCCATTAACATGTGTGCTTTGTGGCTTGATAAAATTTCTAGATATAACAAGGTTTACTAAGGTAAGTCGATCGTAAAAGCTCTTGAGCTTTTAATACTCTCCCATGGCTACCCAAAACAAAAGGACACCCATGAGAAGAGAGAAAGATTTTTAGGTGTGTTTTCAAGTGATCCACTAAATTATAGTTGTGTGTGTGTGTAGAGAGAGAGAGAGAAAGAGAGAGAGAGAGAGAGAGAGAGAGAGAGAGAGAAGGGGGGCCCTTTAATTAAATAATTATATTTTTTTTTCTTTTTTTTTTTTAAATAGAGAAAACCTCATAAATGATCCTTGTGTATTGAAATGACGAAAATACCCCTTACTTAACGGTAGAAAGTTGACGGAGTTAGGCAGAAGGACCATTTGTTAAAAGTTTTGAAACCACAGGGATCATCTGTGAGGTTTTTTGAACTTAGGGATTAAACTTGATATTTTCGAAAACCATAAGGACCATTTTTGAAATTTTGTCTAAAATATTCTTTCGGTTGTTTAACTTAAGCTAAAATTTATATTTAAGTTGACCTTATAGTTTTATATTTAAATTAATAATTTAAGTATTTTATACAAATTGTTCCAAAATTATATCTTTAAAATGATAATTGTTTACATCCAACAATATATTAAAACTAATAAACTAAGTATAATATGTTATAATTTTTTTTAACATAATATTATAAGTAGAAGTAAAGATTATTTTAAAAGTAAAATTTAGTTTATATATGATTATATTTTAAGTTTGATATTTATTTACCATAATTAATCAAATTATAATGATTATTACAAAAAATTGATAAATCATGAAAATTTGTTAAAAGTAACTGCATAATTAGAATTTAAAAGTTAGTGGTACCTAAAAGTTGAAAGTTAAGTAGAAGATAGTTTTTGTTCGTATAAAATTTTTTGTGGAAACCTACAAATTATTATAAACTTTTGAAATGAAACATATAAAATGAGATAAACGAGCAAATATTTTTAGAAGATATTTTCATATAAAATAAATCTTTTATGTTTGTATATAGAATAAAACCGTTTTCTTTAATTCAAGTTACCGACGTACCTATGTAGATCTATATAGATGTGTGTTTGTGTTGACTAATGTGACAAATTACGAGAAATAAACAAAGCATCTTTTGCAATAGTTTCTTCAAATATTACTTCTCTTTCACCTAATAATCGTTAGACTGTATGAAAAACTAATAACGTCGGTTTTAATCTACAGATTTATGTATTTTCTTGTTCGGATAATTTCAACTCGTGGCAATCACAAGTCACAATCATGTTTGATACGTTTGTTTTAGTTTACTTTCTGGTCAAACCCAAGAAACCAACCGTCCAAATTTGTTACAAAATTTCCAACAAATTAAAAATAAAAATACTCTAATTAAAATATCACCAAATTAATTGATTTCGATCAACTTCGATTGGATTCCGAAATTAGATATTATTCTTACCTCGAAACAGAGAAAAAAGAAAAAAAATTATATGGAGATTTGGATTTTAGTGCAAGTCGTTTTGCCTTGACAAAAAGGCCCAATAAACGTAGTTTCAATGGATTGAGTATCTCCTACAACAACTATTAAATTACTATATTTGGTAATAAAAAACAAGTAAATTTAGTATATTTATATGAAAATAATGCAAAAAATTATCTAGAAACTATGTAAAGTATAAACAATTTTGGTCCATTCGCATTACATTATTGAATACAAAATACAAATTTAATTAAACATTGATTAGTATTTGTTAATCTTGATCACTCCAATCAAGCAGGATTAAAGTGCAGAATAGCAGCTTGATTTTGTATTCTTTTTGCTCAAAAGAAGATGCCAAATGATCGAAGAACCAAAACCCATTTGATTTGAAAGAAAAAGAGTCTCAAAATCTAACAGCAACCTAAACATAATAACAAGAAAGAAACATAAAAGGAAAAAAAAAAAGATCGAGAAAAAAGAAATCTTGATTGGTTTTTTAATGCCAAAGTGTTCTTGATCTCTTGGAGGTCGTTGTAGGAGGACTGATCTGAGGCACGGTGAAGCAATTTCCATTGTCGGGTGTCCTTTTTCTTGTTGATTTTGTGGAGTTCGTGATCTTATTATGATTGATGTAACTATTTGGAGCAAATATAAGTGATGATCCGTTGATTGTTTGATCTCCAAATCCCATCATTGAACTGGGTTCGGATTGTTGAGCCAGATGAGTATACCTCGACTGCGGTGGCGGAGGTGGTGGAGCTGCCGGTGGTGGTGCTTGTGGAACCCACATCCCCATTGATTCCGGCGAGAAACCACTATTCAAGCTTCCTTCTAGTAGATCACCACCCCACATAAGCGACGGATCGTTGTCAACAACCTGAAATTATTTTGAATCTAATTAACAAGAAACTCTTCAGATTAAAACCAAAAAAATAAAGTAAAAATTATAGACCTTTGAGAAGTTTGAAGGAGCATCAAGAAAATCTTCGACATGCCAACCGGGTAGCATCTCAATCAAGTACTCCGATATACTACTCGTCGTGGAACCGTTACCCGACCCGTTTGATTCATGGTGGCAGTTCGGAGTTTTAAAAGTAGTCTGGTTCATGATCGGAGAAGGAAGTGGTTCCAGAAGTTGGTCGGGAACGACACCGTTTTTGGTAGTGGGTATCACCGCCGGAGGAGTTGATGACGAATAGAGAGAAGCAGTCGGAGATAGCTTAACGCCGGTGAGTAAAAACCGGTTGTGGTTTTGTGTGTGTTGGTTGACTTTATGAATCGCAACATCACAGTCTTTACAGAGGATAGCTCTATCTTGTTGACAAAACAAGAAAGCTTTTTTCTCCTGACAGATATCGCAGAGAGGCGAATCTTTAGGGGAAGGGTGGAGGAGGGAGAATCGTGGGTGTTTTCCGGCGAGTTTGTTGGCGTGATGCACGCGGTGGTCACAAGCTGCGCAGAGGGCAGCCTCATCGGCGGAGCAATACACCGACGCCTCGTTTTCGTTACAGACGTCACACTGGATCCTCATAAATGGAGTTTGATAAAAGAGGAGGAAGATGGAAGGTGGCGTCGGTGGTGGTGGTGGTGGGAGTGGAAGAGGTTGAAACTCGGAATGTAAAGAGGAGGGGGATGCTATAATTAGGAAGGTTGATGGGTGTTACGGCAGTAATAATAATATAAAAATGGAAAGGCGATGAGAATGAATGCTTAAACCAATAAAATGGGGAGTGAGGTGGAATCAAACCAAAAGTCATAGTAACACTCTGGAGTTTTTATGTTTAAAATTGAATAACACATATACAATAATTTCAACTTATTTATTAATTAAAGTGTGAAATTGGATTTCTAATTGAAATTAGGTTAAAAGATCAACCTTTATTTATATTATTTTTATGCATATATAAAGTGTGTTCGTTGTCTTATTTGAATATTATACACTACAAAATTATAATTAAACAAGTAGTATCGACTTTGGATTTATTCATATATTTTATTTGTTAAAAGTTAATTTCAAATCGTTATCATTTTGAGGTGAAAACAACCAATTTATGAGCAATCGTACAGATGGCAATTCGAATCGTGCAACACTAAAACTAGAACAAACTTGGGAACCTACAGTTCATATGATCTACATAATATACATGTTTGAGCTTGTCCAGTTTGTGCAAATGGCTTGAGAAGTTTTGCTTAATATGTATTTACCATGGATTTAAAGAGGATGATGGGTCATTTTTGGATCAGAACATAAGAGAACATTTAAGAGGCGATTTTTGATAAATATTAGATCATTTTAAGGTGTTATTATCAGGGATTAACAAGATGGATCTCTTATAATCTTGGATTTAAGGTATAAATACTTATCTCTTACTAATTTATATTGAATGGTGGGATTAGGGTTTCAAATTAAGTTGACGTTTTGAATCATGCTTGTTAGTTGTTACATGATTATCTTTTGTATGTAGTGAAATTATAGCGTTAAGTAAACACTAAAATATTATGTTAGTTGAAATTATAATATTAGTTGTTCTGTGAGAATTTTGATTTATAGGAGCACTTGTGTTATGGATCCTTAAATGGGAAATAGTGATATTGATGATTATAATGAGTTAGATTACAAGTATATAATATTTAAATAAGTACAAGTTATATGTGTTTGTTTAGTTATATAATAATGATGAATCTAGGAATCGTACACTTCTTAATTTAATTGTAAATGTGATGAAAATAGGCTAGAATATACGATATATATATATATATATATATATATATATATATATATATATATATATATATATATATATATATATATATATATATATATATATATATATATATATATATATATATATATCATATTGTGTAATAACATGATGGGTCTTAGATGTGTTTCTTTGTATCGAATAGAATGTGTAGTTGATGTGTATTGAATGTGTTTATTTGTGAAGAAACGAATAATTAGCGAAGGAAATGTAAAGATACTATAATTAACCATGGAATTAGAGAAAGGACACACCAAAGTATAATTTGATGCAATTACATAAAGTCGCCAAAGTGAGTAAGATTATTGTTACTTTGAGTTGTATAAGTAATGTAGTTATGCATTTGATATGATGTTAATGTTAATTGATTGTTATAATATGCCAATTTTAATATTCAATGTTATGGGCAAATTATGATGACTTGTGGAAGGACAATGTTGGAAATAATGTAAATAGATCAAGAAACATATTATACTGCTAGTTATACGGAAACACATATGGTTAGGGGTGAGCAAATGGACCGATCGTACAAAACCGAACTGATCTGAAACCAGAACAAGCCCCGAACTAGATCGATACCGGGTGGTTCCCGGTTAATAACATAATTCGATTCTCAATTCTAGCGAACATGGTTTCATTGGTTCCACCGAACCAAACCATAGATGCTAAAATGACTTAATGAGCTGAACAATAACTTAAAGGGATTAAAAAATGACTTGATTGGTTGAAAATGACTTAATTGTACTGGAAAACAACTTAATGGGGCTGGAAAACGAGTTTGGTACGTAGAACCGAAACAAAGACATGTTTAGTCCACAGTATTATCGTTCCGGACTATTCATTTCAGCTTCGATCGTTTCCTAGTTCTTTTAATTATGGTCTGGTTCGTGGGCTAATTCTAAAAAGTTTTCATGCCTACATAGTATCATACACTAAAGAACATTAAAAATAAACGAATAACAATATATTTACAGTGTATAAGTTTATTATTTACCTACTAAAATAACTAATAGTTATTTATTATTTGTTGATAAAAAATAAAATAAATAAATAAAGGAGTTTATTTATTATAAATTAAATAAAAGATCTTATTTAACTAAAATCATTTCATTAGTTAAATAAATAATTAATGGTTTGGAATACTTAAGTTAGTTGGCTAGAAAAGATTTTAAAAAACCTACTAAATGACTTAGTAGAAAAATGAGTTGATAAGTGTTGTTAAAAAAAATGCAAAATAGTCAAAACCCTAAAAATCTTCCTCCACCTTCCATTCAGCGTCGTCTCCTTCTCCTCGTAGTGTTTAGCTTAGTGGATCCAATCCAAGAAAAAGAGATTGCATTGATAAGTTACCCTCTGTGGTAGTTATTGTTCCAAGCTCTATAGGAATCTATACAGGTAACATGTTTATGGCTACAATTCTATGACATCAAAAAGCCTCTACTATTAAGATAGTAAAATCTATGTAAAACCCATATAATTTGAGCAAATTTAAAACTTTTTAAATCATTTGAAACCATTCAATTATTACAATTTCTTTTCAAAATAGTTTATACATCAGAGTTCCCAAAAATCATAATCGTCAATCGAGGAAGTATACAGTCACGTCTTCGCCTACCTGCGGCCAACCGCTGAACCTGAAACAATAAACTGAAACTGTAAGCCCGAAAGCTTAGTGAGTTACCCCCAAAATACCAACATCAATAATACCATAACCATATCATATAACAAACACAGAACAGTCATGCATCTCGAGTCTATAGTGTGACTAGTCCGCCCGCACCAGGCATTCAGTCCACCTGGTCCACTCCCTGAGTCTATAGTATGACTGGATCGCCCGCACCGGGCCTTCTGTCTGTCTAGTCCACTCTTCGAGCATCGGCACGTCTGGACCGCCCTCTTGGGGCCTTCAGCCTATACGGACCGCTCGCCGGGCCTTCGGCCTTACTATGTGCCCTTCCGGGTCTACAGTCAATCCGGTCCGCCCTAGGTATGTTGGCCTACAGCACGAAGCAGGACCCACCTCAACCCAACCCCCAAACAATAACCATGTGCACATATAACATATAATCACATAACAGTCCATAGACAAACAAACCGATCTAGCAGATCATATAGCATAGTAACATCCTAACCAGGTTACCGACCTAACAGGTCACTAACATAGTATCATCCTCTATACCAGGTGTGACATCCCCAATTTCACGGCTAGAAAAGACCGGTTTATTTATGCTTTGTTTTAAAATCATAGTTATCTTTTAAAGAAAACAGTTGCGGAATTTGTCCCAAAAACAAAATATGATAACCATTTATCAAAACATTTCTCAAAGAGAATGTATTTTTATTAAATAATAAAACCTCCGGATGTCATGTTCCGTTACAGACCAAAAGCATAAACAGTACTATACAGACCTTACAACAGTTATTTATAACTACTGGTCTATAATCCAAAATCTCTCGTCCAGTTATTCGACTTATACTCTTGTGTCATTACATGTAATACAAAGAAAATTGAGTGGGTCAAGCTTGGGAGCCTGGAGAGCATATAGGGTCTTCAACCCACAATAATATAATTATTAGATTTAGTCATCAAACAATCAACCCAATTACCCATCCCCATTATGTTCTTTATTTCTTAAGGTTTTACCCTAAGAATCAACTATTCCTCGTTCATTAATTCCTAAGGATTGACCTAAGGAATTGGCACAAAGTCCATTTGCTACCACGGTTTATACAACAGGCAGTACGTCACATAGTCACCAGGGTTCATACAATTGGCACTACGTCTCATAGTCACCAAGGTTTACACAATAGGCACTACGTCTCATAGTCACTAGGGTTTACACAATAGGCACTACGTCTCATAGTCACTATGGTTTACACAATAGGCACTACCATGGTTTACACAATAGGCACTATGTCCCATAGTCACCAGGGTTTACACAATAGGCACTACGTCTCATAGTCACCAAGGTTTACACAACAGGCACTATGTCTCATAGTCAACAAGGTTTACACAATAGGCACTACGTCTCATAGTCACCATGCTTTACACAGTAGGCACTACATCTCATAGTAACCAGGGTTTACACAATAAGCACTACGTCTCATAGTCACCAGGATTTACACAATAGGCACTACATCTTATAGTCACCAGGGTATACACAATAGGCACTACATCTCATAGTCACTAGGGTTTACACAATAGGCACTACGTCTCATAGTCACCAGGGTTTACACAATAGGCACTACGTCTCATAGTCATCAGGGTTTACGTAGTAGGCACTATGTCTCATAGACACCAAATATTTCATCTACCCATGTTCTACCCAACATATTTGTAGATATAAAATACATAGACAGTTTAAATCATTAAAAAAACCTGTATAAAACATCCATTCCACACCCATCTCAAATAAACAAAGAATACCTAACACGTAGCACGTATTTCATAGCAAATAATTCATATTTATGTGTTAGAAGAAAGTAACTACACACTCACACATAACATAGATGTAATACATTCAACTGATACTTTTATTAAAATCATGTTTATGAAAGGGACTATACACTCACTTGATTAGACGATCCTCGGACAGCACTACGGCTCTTTGAGTAGTAATTCTCCGGTGAAACTGGGATATCTTTACATACCGGGCTTCTCGCAAGCAAAGCTTCCGCTCGGAAACTTTTTTCTTTTCGGGATCTTCGGGCTTCGGGACTTGCTTCGGGTCTTGGGATGATACCGCGGCTTCGAGGGTACTTCAAGATGTCCAGAGAGGGTATCGGGAGTGGGAGAGTAAGGGAGGAGCAACCAAAATCGGCTGACCCTTGATATCTATTTATAGGGTGAAATTTATGCACTCACGTCGTGTGTTTCTAATGCTCACGTCGTGGGGCTTGATCGTCACTGCATGCGTCATCACAAGTGGCGGTTGACAGAGTCCAGGTGATGTTTTTCTAAGTTCACGTCGTGAACACGGTGTTCACGTCGTGAGTTCTGACACAGG